TGCCTGTGTAGATTTACGAGTTACTTGGTCATATTCTCGTCCTTCTTTTCAACAGCAGACGACTTGAGAGGCTGTATTTTCTTATTATGTAGAGGAAATGTGCGTCGCTCTTATCGTCAATGATGCAAGTAAGCAAAAATACAGAATTCCTGATCCTCTCACTCTCTTGTAATTACTTTTCTTTTTTGTTTTAACTTACTTAACTTGCTTTACAATTAGCTCTTTTGTTGAGGTAACCACAACTACCCTCTGCCAACACTTTCAGCTCGACCCTATCTGGTCAAAATGTCTTACCATTTTTGGTTTCTTTGAGCAAACAGACAATTCTAGTGCCAATTACTTCCGCATCTGCTTCAGGTTTGTCTCTAAAGGTTTTCATCTCCTTTGCAAATAATGATCTGATGCCTGGAAAGGTGAATGACCAGCACTTGCAGGAGTGGGGATAAGATGAGTGCGGAGGATGAGGCTGAGGTAGTACCTCCCTCCCTCCCTCCCCTTTCTCCCCTTTTTCCTCTCTGTGCTCTTCTAGTCTCTCACGTTCCTTCCTTTCTACTTTTCCACTGCTCGGTTGTGCATTATGCAGTACTTCGCTGCCGATTTTCCAACCTCTCTGTTTCGCATTGCGCATTGCGTAGCATGAGGTGTGGGGTGTTTCGTTTTGGGAGTGTGAGGAGATCCTTGTCTTGCGCCCTCAATGATTTATTTATTATTGCATAAATGATTTTAGCAAAATGATATCTGGGCTAATGAGATGGCTCCTGAGGCTCTGAAGTGGGATGATAACAAACGAACGCGCTGCCTAATTAACACTTCAGTAGAAAGTGAAATCACACTTCGAGTGATCGGAGTTATAATTAAATAGCCTCTGTTTCATGTTCAAAAAATATGAAACTGCACGATGGGTACTTGCGGTGTGCATATTCTGCCTTAAATGTCTGAGGAAAGATGATGGTCAAGCAGGCCTTTCTTCCGACAAATAGAATCGGAGCTCCTTCACAAACTCTGCCACACAGTCTGTTTGATGCGTCACTTATTCTCTGCCACAGACCCACTAGTAAAGTACAATTGTTGCGTTCTTCTAAACGAATGGGAGGGATGAAAACACCTAAGTTCGTGCACAAATATTCTTAAAAATCGTTATTCTGAGTCCACATTGCTCACATGTCCATTATCTACTCCACTGGGTCAGTCTGAGCCTTCCAAGAGTAGCATGGCATTGACCTTCACTTTCCCCAGCATAGCCGCAATGCATTAGTAAAACAAATGCACTCACCCATTCTCTCTGTGGGTCCAGTAGGAAGTGTTTAGTCCCTGTCCGCCCTCTGTGCTCTCTCACCCCTCCATCCTACACTCTCCGCCACTTTCTTAGTAGTGTGTGCATTTTGCAGGCACTGTCTATGCATTGATGAAGCCTCTGTGATACAGTATTTTTTGGACAACTCAACAATGTCTCGGAGAAGGAGTGACAAGGGATCGGAATGAGGATAGACGATGCTGAAATGAAGGAAATTGATTAGTTGAAGTGAACTAGGTAAATGATTAGTAGGATGGTTGGGTGTTGAACAGAGGGAGCAAGTCGAGGTGGATGGATCAGTTGGGGGATTAATGTGTATTTGGGCGAGTGAATCAAGTGGGATGAAAGAGTGGCTTAGGCAAAAAACGCATGCGGGTTCACGACTTAGAGGTGGTTTTACAAAAATGAGATTTATGGGTGGATGAATGGAAGAATGAACTGTGGAATAACTGCAGATCCATGAAATGGATAGATGCATGGATTGCGAATGAGTGACTGGTTGGGTGGGAAGATTTTTGGCCAGATGAATGTGTGTCGAGGAGACGAATGAATGGTTGTTAAGGTGAAGAAATGTTTGAAGTTATGAATAGACGAATAGCTGAAAAGCTCAGAAATGGATGCGTAGCTGAATGAATAAGACGTGCAAATAGATGAGTGCGTGGACCGAGGTGAAATGATTGGGTGGCAGCAATGATCGATATGCTGACAGATCCTGCATATACTTCATTGCCTTTTCCTATTGTAGATCGCAGATGTTTTCTCCTACGCTGAGGGCAACACGGTGACAGGCCCATTGTTGATGCAGTACGTTGCTCGCTGCGGAATTGACATGTGGTTGTAGTGCAAGATCGGTTGTACGGCTGCGGATCTGGAAGTAGAAAGCAATGAGTAACTAGACAAGTGGTTCACCTCCTTATGGACCAAGCCTCACCCAGTTATCCAAGCTAGGTATCACTTGCTGCATTAACTCGGCCATGTAGGTGCATTTTATGGCGCTTAATAAACATTAGAATGTTTTGTTCTAATACACAAAATCATTTTGGTGGTACAGATATGCCCTGCAAATGTGATTAAAATGTGTCAAGACTATCGTAGCTTGAAGATCACATGTGTCGTGTTTCTCTCCGCCACTTAGCCTTTCGATCTATCCTTTAGCAGCCAATGCTATTATGGGCTAGGTTTCCTCAATACTTTACATCGTCGTGTTAGTAGAAATCGGTGAGGAGGATTTGGTGTTCACTTAGCGTTTGCCTAGCCTTTGCCCTTCCCTCCACACAGGTTCTCTTCACGACGAAGACCATTCGCAGATGCTGCGTTCTCGCCTTATTGATAGTAGTAGCTCCTTCGCAGTCACAAAGGGAATCTACCTTGTCCGTTTGTAGCCAAAATGCCGGACTCAAACGTACTTGTGGTGGAGCATCTGAGTGAAATCGTGGAGTATGCTATTGTCACCTTGCATATTCCGATCTGTTACTAAGACGTTAGAGAGAACCCTTTCTTTAAAGCCCTATTTCAATGCTGCATGTATTCCCCCACCCCCACCTGAAATAAGTAGTTGCACAAGATGAACAAAACTATGTTTGTGTGGTTGTGAGGCCTTTCGCATGTGTTTGTTTACCACCTTCACCCGGTAATGCAGATGAGACGAAGTGCACGTCGTCACATTCGGCTATTAATTGAACTGCGACTGCAAACCTACGGCAGGAGTAACTGTATCTACTACGTGAAGACTCTCTCCTCTACTTCTTTTTAATTATGGTTTGCTCACCTCTGCTACACTCACCACCCATTTCAGTCATCCAACTACTACTACGACTGCTTCAACTTCTACTCATACCACCTCATTAATTCCATGCTACTTGGCCCAATATTCCACAAATGAATTCAATTTCTAACCAAAACACATTGCTGTCTTGAAGGCTTTACCGCTGGAAGTGGAAAAAGTAGGCGTAAGTAACAACAGTGCCACAGCCAGTGTGCCACGAAGCAGAGAGTGAGTGGTTCAACTTAGCCTACCTTCTATCCCATAACAGCGTTTTGCCC